CCGGGCACATAATTGCCTCGTGTCGTTGCATTCTATGCGATATTGCAAAAAGCGCAAAATTTGTTTGGATGAACTAAATTTAGTCAGTTGACTGATGAACAATGAAAATATAGTAAATCATAACAGAAACGGGTTGCTTCTCCAGTAAATTTCGTTTTAAAAACCACCTGGCACAAAATAAATCTACATAGCTCATCTTTAGTTCAATATTGGATCACCAGGTGCTGAGAGAGTTTCATTCAAGATTTTTGTTTGGAAATTTTTGTTCGTATTCGTGAAAACCTAAAAATAAGTTAGCAGTTAAAGTGCCTAGTATGAACAGTTTTGACCTCTTTTTTTTACAGTATAACATATTTTATTTTAGCTGTTGATCAAGTCGTCCGACCGACAATGAGCTCAACTAATTCGACTCCATACGAACGATCTTCCGCTGATGCCGACTTCTGCAGTTCATCTTCTGTAAGAGAAAAACAAAGGAGACAAGGTATTCCAAGAGAAAAGGGAGAAATGTCCGACAGAAAACGAATACAATATCATCATAAAGTTGAACAGGCGGCAATTGAAATGAAACCTGAACATGAAAAAAGTTCTGATATTGTTCGCCAGAAGGATATTCTTGTGAAGAATTTTGAAAAGGAACTTCAAAGGTTGATGCGTGAAAAAGAAGAGGAAGTTCGAAAAGCCCAAACTGAAACTCGTCGTGTTCGAGAGGAACTCACTGCGCAAGTTCGAGATGCTGAACGTAGAGCTGGTCACCGTACACAGGATGGCGCTAACCAAGGGGACACCAAACGGTTGATTCAAGAGTTGTACGACCTGCGAGAGGTGAAGCGCCGTCTAGAGGAAAATCTGAAAGATGTGATGGAAGCAGATCGTCAAAAAGCAAGTGATCTCAGACGCGTTCACGAGAAGTATGATTCAAAAATGAGAAAAGTCCACAAAGAATCAGAAGCAGAAGTAAGAAAGCTGGTAAGTTCTGTTTATACACTTGATACATACAGGTAAATTGGAATTGGTCGCTTTATGTGAAGGATCAAAACAGCATTAAATGGTTTTATCAGAAATAATAAAGTTGATCATCAGTTGAGATAAATTTTTAATTTACATATATAAGCTTGTTTAGAAATGGGTAAGCACACAATCTGTTTTTTTTTCAATAGTTAGTAAATCAAAAGTTTTCTACTTCACCTCGAAAGCTCCAATGTCATTTTATTTGTTGTCATCCATTCATTCTTGTTTAATTTATGCGATGTGAATTGATAATAACTGAGATTCCCATAGATTGTTAACATTTTCTAGTTGTTCTTCTATAAGTTATTTTTTTCTTTCGGAGCAAGAATATATCTATCCAGCATAGCACCCTTTGGAAAGTGTTCCGTTCCTTTCTCTTAAATATACGTCATAACAAATATTTCTTTTCTAAATACAGAGGTTCGAATCTATTATATTAAAACGAATTTGAAACTACACCACGTAGTTACAGTCCATGTTGCCATTTATGGTCATGCTCTATCTGATGAATGTTAAATTTCACAGTGGCTCTGCAACGTAATTGCCGTTGCAGAAAGCTTCATCGTAAATCTGGCATGCCTAAAACACATCATTTTTCTCTATTTGCTTTCCATAATTCATCTAGAGTACGAAGACTGTTTCAACAGTATGATCGCACAGAAATCTATAGACGTTGTGTCTGGCGATTTGACCATTATGCCTTCGGATGGAATAGCTTGAATTCCAGTTTCATTCTCTAGGTGCTTAAGATATGTTATAGAAACAACTTATGTTGCTTTTCTAGACGGAGAACCTTTTTGTTTAAGTTGCATACTAGTGCCTGGGGCAAGTGTCCGGTTATTACCCCTGACATTTCTGTTCGTGAATTCTCACCTGTATCAAAATTACAGGTGGAGTACGATTTGATGCAGGTCTTTTTTTTATGGTTCTGGGTCCCCAACTTAATCCATATTCCTCTGTTTTTCATTAAGTACAAGCTATATTTCCGTCTTAAAAATTCTAAAACCTCAATCTGAGTGCATGAATACGTCGGAAATGACTGTTACACACCCTGCTCAAAACGTACCAATTTTCGGTGGCATCATACAAACTGGGAAACGCCAAACAATGTCAAAATGTAGTTCATATATGCCGTTCCTCTGCCACTTTATATTGACTACTATTGTGGCATGAATAGCTTAAATGCTTATTCAGAATGTTTTAATACATAGTACCCAACCCTCTATAGACTGCATAAATTAATAACTAAATTCTAATTACAAGAGAAATTTTTCATTAGGAAGTTAGAGCATCATCACTGTTCTTTGCTTCTTACTCTAACCTCAACCAGGAGTGCCATCACTGTCCTTTGCTTCTTACTCTAGCCTGAACCAAGAGTACCATCACTGTCCTTTGCTTCTTACGCTAACCTGAACCAAGAGTGTCATCACTGTCCTTTGCTTCTTACTCTAACCTGAACCAAGAGTGTCATCACTGTCCTTTGCTTCTTACTCTAA